ACCGAATATCGGGAGGTACCGTTATATGGGGACTATACCAGAACGTGGACCGATATATCTCATTTTCAATACCAACCATCCTAGACACAATGCAAATAGCTCTGCTAAATTTTGGAGCTCTACGTCAAATAATGTGGGCTGTATTATTATTATTTGACGTAGAGCTCCAAAATTTAGCAGAGCTATTTGCATTGTGTCTAGGATGGTTGGTATTGAAAATGAGATATATCGGTCCACGTTCTGGTATAGTCCCCATTCAACAGACAAACAGACAGACAGACGGATAGACAGACAGACAGACAGACAGACAGACATACAGACAGACAGACGGATATCGTTAAATCGACTTAGAATTTTATGCTGATTATGAATATATATACTTTATGGGGTCTAAAACGAATATTTAGGGATGTTACAAACGATTTCGAGCGGAATTTATTCCCACTTGAAAATGAGCAAATAATGATCGCAAGTAGTAATCGTCGGTTTTGCCGGCAGATGTATACCCTCCGCCAATGTCGGTTTATTAAAATAAAATTTGACTTGCGTTATGATTTTTAAAAAGCTGACCCTATTTTGGGATGGTATCAAAAGATTGGGTCAATATTTTCCATTTCGTATCTGACCTAAGTGAGCTATAAATATTACAACGAACCAGATTTGGACAACTTCCTAATATGAAATACATGATCATTTTTTGAAATATTGAAATGTGCGTGAGGTTCCAGATGTAGTGGACCGATGTATTCGACTTTGTCTAAAATATTGGAGAAAAAATATTGTACATTTTATTTAAAGAACATCGAATAAAGTCCATATTCACATCAGATCTGTGGTTGAGAAAAATATTTAAACACAGCAAGTTTGAAAAGAATCCATGATTTTTTTTCGCAAGTATGAAGGATATGAATATTGAAAATTTTGGTCCTTTGTGTGGAAGGTACCAGAATGGGTGGGCCGATATTTTTAATCTTCCCATCAGATCTTATATTAGTATAAATATTGGAATATGCGAGACATAATAATTTAAAACTTTGACCCGTTGTGGAGTGGAGTGGTCTGATATATTCCATTTTTATACCAGGCCTTGTGTTGTTAAAAAATATGCGTGAAATTTAGAATGAATCGGATGCTTATTTCCCATTTTATGAGAGATATAATTATTATTATGATATAATTAATTGATACATTCCATCTTTACACCAGATATTATGTTGATAGAAATATTGAGATGTGCCGAGTTTGGCGATAATCGGATGCGTTTCACGTTTTATGACTTTTAGGTTTTTTTCGGGTAGGGGAGGTACCTGAAGGGCCATCCCATCTTCACACTGGATCTTCTGTTAAAAACTATTTTGGGATGTGTGAAGTTTAATGAGAATCGAACAATAATCTTGCATTTTATGAGAGATATAATTATTCAAAATGTTGACCCCTTTGGGGTGAAGGTAGCAGAAGGAGTAGACTGATATATTCCATCCTCACACCAGATCCTGTGTCAATATAAATATTGAGATGTGTGACATTTTATGAGAATCGGATGCTTATTTCGCATTTTATGAGAGATAGAATTATTAAAAATGCTGACTCTTTGTGGGGTAGGTACCAGAATTAGTGGTCCGTTCTAATCGTTCTTCATACCAGATCCTGTGTTAGTAGACATTTTGGGATGTGGCGAGTTTGAAGACAATCGGTCTTTTATTTCACATTTTTCCAGGAGTTATGATTATTCAAAATGTTGACCTCTTTTGCGGAAGGCTCATTCTATTCGTTCTCCAGATCCAGTGTTAGTAGAAAAATTAAGTCTACGAAAGAAAATCGGGCTCATATGTAGCATTGTATGAGAGATATAATTATTCAAAATGATGGCGCCCTTTGTGGGGGAGGCGCCAGAAGGAGTAAATCGATATATTCTACCTTCACATTAATTCTGGTGTTAAAAAATGTATTGGGATGTGCGGTATTTGAAGACAATTGCGCTTTTATTTCACATATTATGGGAGTTATGATTTTTCCAAATTGTGACCCATTGTTGGGGAGGTACATGATGGTGTGGGTCGATATTGTCCCTATTGTCACCTAGCACTGATACAAATATTGGGCTGTGTAAAATTTTAAGAGAACAAATGCTTATTTCGCATTTTATTGCGATTTTATGGTGTTTTGCTGTTCAAAATTTTGACCCCTTTTATAGGGATGTACCAGAAGAAGCAGGCTGATATATTCCATCTTCTCACCAGATCTTGCGTTAATAAAAATATTGGGATGCGTGGAATTTTAGCACAATCGGCCTCTTATTTCACATTTTACAAGAATAATGTTGATTCAAAATGTTGACCCTTTGTGGGGGAGGTACTGAAAGGAGTGCACCGATATTGTCAATTTTCTCACCTGGCCTAGGACTGATACAAATATTGGGATTTGCTATGTTTATACAAAATTGAATGATCCTGTCTTGTTCTTCAAGGTAAATCATTTTTTGTGAAAAATTGGGCTAAATCAAAAATCCCTTCGAGAGTTATCGTGCGCATAAGCCAGACAGGCGGGCGGACGGACGGACAACACCAAATTTCCTAAAATGGTTGTGGTCCAAAGAGACCTAAATCTAAAACCGTTTTTATCCATATAAAATATATATGCCCTCTGAGGATATACACTGAGGATATACAATGAATATACTCGATTTCTTTCCTCAACTCGAGAGAGTACTCACACTCGAATTTGTGCACGTTTCACTTTATACTCGAACTCGAGAGAGTGAGCATATCAGAAACCTAATTTTAAGACAGGTTATTTTAAAATAATTAAAGCATAGCTTAATGAAAATATAGACGAAGAAATGCTCTCACCGCTTATCATCGAACAAATTCGAATCATCCATTGAACTATGTCGTTTCAGGGGGTATGAGTAAAAATATTGAAGTCACTCAAACCTGTAAATGGTGCATTCGAATAGAAAATCTGTCCCATACATTATGACATCGAAAAATATTCAATGCAAAAATTGTAATTATTGAAAATTCAATTAAATTTTTTTCGAAGTCGAGTGACTCAACCATGCAAAAACTGTTGTTGCGACACATATTAGCAACTGATATTGAAAGCTTTCGTTGTCTATATTTTCATAAGTCTGTGATTATTTCAATTTTAGATTTTTTGAGGTGTTGTTTTGCCGAATAAATGATTAATTGGCATTTTGTTGAAATAATTATTGATCCGTTCCAGAACCCACAAGAATCTACTAGTTTTGCGATTTTTCTACGATACCATAAAGGAAAAATCGATTATTGGAGTAAAAAGTTTTTCATTCTTGCAATTCTGGAACAGAGCCAGACATGAATAAAAAACTAAAACATTTTTATCGTGGCATTTTATTGGGCTCGCATGAAAATAAAAAGTCGAAAAAAATGCATGATTTCAAAAAGCGAAAATGAATTTCAAGAAGTCCAATTAGGGGTTTTCTCCACAGCCAAAAATAGACTACGACTTTTGGCCTTTCCAAACACCAAAAGTCGATTCACCTATCCCCACTGTAAATTCCATTGAACTCCGCCCGATTCTTTACATATAAAGATAAATTAATTTTCGGGGTATTTATATTCTCCACAGCCAAAAATAGACTCCGACTTTTGGCCTCTCCAAACACCAAAATCGATTTACCTATCCACCACTATAAACTCCATTGAACTCCGCCCGATTCCACATATATATATATATATATATATATATATATATATATGTATATATATATATATATATATATATATATATATATATACATATATATATATATATATATACATATATATATATATATATATATATATATATATATATATATATATATATATATATATATATATATATAAACATACCCTGAAATAATTTTCGGGGTATTTACATTGCAATTGTAAACATCTTTAATTAGTAGCAGCTGTTTTGGGATCAACATTTAGTAAATGACTAAAGCAAAGTATTTTTTTACAACGCATTTGGGCATCGATGTTAATAAAGGGGAACTAATAAAATTAAAAAAAACACAGCACAAATTACAAGCAAATTATAATAAAAAGTGGGTTAACTTTATTGTTTAATTTTTATGGTGTTTTTTTTCTTTCGTTACAAATAATTTAAATTAAAATAAAGGAAATAATATTATTAAAAAAAAGAACACATAATTAGGGTACAATAGGCGCGCTTCATTATTTTTGCAGGGAATATGGGATCTATGGGATTGAATGGTGTACGAGGTGGGGGTGTAAATGGTGCAAATATATATTAGGTGTGTCTGGTCAATGTGTGATGATGATTACATTTAGTTCTGTGATGGGAATGAGATATTTTTTATGCGGGGTTGGATGTCCATATGACCTGGGCTGTAATTGGGGGTGTATGTGTGGTGCTGGTGTCTCATACATTGGTAGATATGTTTGTGTGGGGTGGTTTGTGCGCATAACTTAGCAGTGTGTTAAATTGTCCTATTGTTTCAAAACTCTACCTCCTGTTAAAATTATTAGAAAATAAAAATAAAAAAACAGTTATTAATTTTAGGTTATAAAACAGTAAGCATTTGAGTAAATTAAGTTCTAGGTAACAAATTATTTAAAAACAAATAAAAAAAATGAAGAAAATAAGAAATAAAAAAATAAAAATAAATTGCACTAAAATTGATTTAAAGCTTTTAAATATTGCAAATGCTCTGAGTTTATTTTTATATGTGTGGTCAGCTTTGTTATTTAAGAAAAATTATAAATTTAAAATGTAAAAATAAAAAAAATAAAATAATTGTAAAAAATAGTGCACACTAATAATTCTACATGGTGCTGCTGTCATATCCATTATATAAAACTATTTAACATTTATATATAAAATAAAAAATATATTTTTAAAATAATAAAAAAAAAAAATTAATTAAAGTGATTTATGGAGTATTGTTGTGTAAAAAAGTGACTATTTTTTTTTGTTTGTTGTTCTTTTGTTTATTTAATAGTGTGTATTACTTTGTTGTGGTGGCACAAAACCATAACCGGAAGCACCAACAATAACACCGCTCGACTCATCAATTGCGTCTGGGGGAGATGGGGGGAAGACGACGGGTCCTGGAAAATGAAAAAAAATATATGTATAAATTTGAGTTTAAGAAGCTGGTAAAAATATTTGTTCGGGTGATCTGTATGATAAAGGTAGTAAACTGTTAGCCAACAAGAGGTAGGTGGCTACACTATTTTTGGCATTTAATATCCAATCGTTAAATATACATTTTGTGTAAATGATAGGGACTTTTTTGACTTAGATGCCATAAAACTTTTCAGTTTAATATTGACCTGTGGACATTTGTAGATAGAGACTTAGGCACAAACCGTTTTTTTCACCCAATACTAATTGCAAAGTATTTTCGGTACCTTTTAGTACTTTTCATGCCCTTTAGGATATTTTGGAGAGATTTTTTATTATATCCTACACCACATAGTGGTAAGGGTATTATGTCTTTGTGCATTTATTTGTGACATGGAGAAAGAAGCGTGATAGACCCATAGTTGTCGATTTATGCATGACAGTCCGCCTGCCCGTCTGTCCATGCATTCTTGTTAGAGATGGAATTTTGCAAACAATATTTGTTTGGCCCAAGGAAAAATCCAATTGAAATTGGTGATAATCGGATCAGATTTAGATATAGATCCCAAATATATATCTTCAACCGATTTCGGTTTAATTGTGCACCAAATGGCTAATATACATCCAAATGACCTTTATTTTGGCACATCCAACCAAATTCAGTCTAGAAGCAAGTAAATCAAATTTAGTGTAAATCGCTTCAGAACAAAATGCAGGTTGAGATGAAATTTTGAAAAAAATATTTGTTTGGTCCAAGGGAGAACCCTATTGGTGATAATCGGATCAGATTTAGATATGGCTCCCATATATCTTCAACCTATTTCGGGTGAATTGCGCACTTAATGGCTAATATAAGTCCAAATGACCTGTATTTTGGTACATCCTACCGAGCAAGTAAATCAAATTTGGAGAAAATCGGTTCAGATATAACTATAGCTCCCATATATATTTTTCACGCGATTTTTTATGAACTCCAGAAGTGTGATATTTGGTACCGGATATCAGATATTGCTCAAAAATATCTCTGTATCTGGATTTAACTCTCATATATATTTTTATCCGATATCAGATTTATTGTGCACCAAATGGCTAAAATCAGCCCAAATGGACCGAATTTTGGCAATCACGACTGAATTCATTCTATAAATCAGTATTTCAAATTTAGTGTAAATCGGTTCAGATATAGCTATAGCTCCTATATATATATATATATATATCATTCGATTTGGGGTTTTAAGTCCCTCACATTCGTAATATGCCCTCCAGAAGAATGATATTTCGTACCGGACATCAGATACTGCTTAAAAATACCTCTGTCAAATTTTGTCGAGATCGGTTCAAATTAGGAAAAGGCTCCCATACATAACATTATCCGATAACAGGTTTATTGTGCACCAAATGGCTAATATCAGTCCAAATGAATTTTACAACAATAATCTTAGGGACCAGATATCAGATACAGCTCTAAAATAAGTGTATTTATTTTTATCAAGATCGGTTCAGATTTGGATATAGCTCCCATATATATCCACAACCGGTTTCGGGTTAATTGTGCACCAAATGGCCAATATCAGTCCATAAGTTCCGAATTATGGTACATCTGACCTAATTCGGTCTAGAAGCAAGTTCATCTAATTCGGAGAAAATCGGTTCAGATATAGCTATAGAGGGTGAGATGAAAAAAACTGCAACCAGTTTAAGACTGCTGTCAATTGTAAGCTAGTCGTCCGACAGCTGTTAAAATTATTCCAGTGAGAGATCATTATATTGTTAACAAGGGTACGAAAGCATTTTGGTGAGAATTTTCCAAAAAAAAAAGTTATTCGTGATGGAATTCAAGCGTGATAGTGTGATTTCTTTATATTTCCCTGGAAAACCACAAGTGGCTATCGTTGGAGCACTCCAGCATTTAGATGTGAATAAATCTTTTGTGTCTCGTACCATCGCTCGCTCGTACCGTGATATTGGTAGCGTATCCCGACGTCAAGGAAGTGGACGAAAAAAACAGCAACATCAGCAGAAATGATTCGAAATGTGAAGAAGCGACTTGATCGAAACCAGCGTCGCAGTGGACGAAAAATGGCTCTTGAGCTGAACATATCGCAATATTCCATTCGGCAAATATTGAAAAAATGAGCTCGGGGTAAAGCCATTGAAATTCCAAAAAGTGCAAGAACTTACACCGCACTAGAAAGAAAATAGACCAAAAAAGCTAAGGAGTTGCTTCGCTTGGCCGTAAGGGATGAACTGCCGAATTTGATTTTCTCCGATGAGAAAACATTCGTTGTCCAGCAGCTTGTAAACAAATAAAATTATCGTGTTTACTTGCCAAAGAGGTCAGCTGAAGATGTACATCTTCGGTTGGCCACCAGAACTCAAGCACCGGCCATGGTGATGGTGTGGGCCGCTATATTAGGCGATGGTCGCTCTCCGAACGTGTTAGTCGACCGTGGCATTAGAATGAATGCGGAATATTATTGCGAAAATATACTGGAGGGTGTATTAAAGCCATGGGTACGCAAACATTTTGGCCGCAAACCTTGACATTCCAACAGGACTCAGCACCATCGCACTCAGCATGCGCCACCCAAAAATGATTACAAAATGAGGTTCCTCGCTTCATTTCCGGTGTACAATAACAACCAAATTCTCCGGATACCAATCCGTTGGACTATTGTGTCTGGAGTATTTTGGAAAGCAAGGTTGGCACTAGAAAATACCAAAATATCGATTACCTCAAGCAAGCGTTTCGCAGGGAATGGGCCAAAATGCCGCAGAGCAATATTCGGGCAGTATTGGTCGTTTGAAAGCCATAATTCGTGCCAAAGATGACCAATTCGAACAAATCTAAACTTATTCTAAAATTTGACGCTCTTTCCGACATTTTTTGCTTTCATTCAATAAAATTAAGAAAAAATGTAAAAATTAGTCGTTTGACTTTGTTGCAGTTTTTTTATCTCACCTTGTATAGGTTCACGATATCGTATAGGCCACATTCAACGGTACCCCATGATATTCGATATTTTGACGATCTAAGGGATATTATTCACCGGAGATGTTTCAAATTTCGTAATGAGAAAGTCTGGTCATGTCCAGGTCTTCGTATAGCACCCATATATCAGTACCTCCCGATATTCGGTATTTTGATTATTTTAGCGACATTATTCACTGGAGTTGTTTCAAATTTCGTATTTAGAGTTCGTAATAGGAACTACAGTCTATAACAGAAAATTGTCTATACAGGTCCAGGTGTTCGTATAGGCCCCATATTTCAGTACCTCCCGATATTCGATATTTTGATAATTTTAGGCACAATATTCATCAAATTTTTTTTGAAATTTCGTACTTGAAGTTCCTAACAGGTACAACAGCCTGTGACAGAAAATTGTCTATGCAGCTCTAGGTCTTCGTATAGCCCTGATATAACGGTACCTCCCTATGTTCGGTACTTTGATGATTTAATTTACAATATTCATCTGATTTTTTTCAAATTTCCTATTTGAATTTTGAAATGGCGTATGAAAAAAGTTGTCTATGTAGGTCCACGTCTTCGTATAGGTACCAATATAACGGTTATATTCGATATTTTTAATATTTTAACATAATTTTTAACGGATTCTATTTTTTTTTTTTTTGAAATTTCCAAATTTGTTCCAAATGGTGGAGGGTATTCAAAATTCGAACTGGTCAAACCTACAGCTTTTTAGTTTTATACATTCGTCCAATCTATATGGTACCATATTTGGTACATTTTTAGTAGCCTTTTAGTACTTTTCGCATCCATTTGGTACGAATTGCCCAAAAAAGAATTAATCTAACACTTCATCCTTATTAATATAGATGGAAAAACTGAGCCAAAAATGTGAATTTGGCAGGTAAAGATATTATTCTAAATCAATGAGAAGGTCTTCGGTTTTCGTCTTTAAAAAATAAATGTATGTATGTATGTTCAAATTTACCTCTGTTTTGTCTGGGGTCCCGACCGCTGGCACCGGTGGCTTGTGGCACATCAATGGAATTGTAATCGAAATGTCGGGGGCCGAAAAGGTAGTTTTGGCCAGCTACCAAAGCCAATGTGGCGCAGAAGGCGAGGGCAACCATTAACTGTAATAAAACAATAATAAAAATATTATTTTTTTTTTGAATCAAAATTAAAACAAGTAATTTATAAATATAGATTTTATAAATAATTTGTAAACTTATAATAATAATAATAATAATAATAATAATAATAATAATAATAATAATAATAATAATAATAATAATAATAATAATAATAATAATAATAATAATAATAATAATAATAATAATAATAATAGTAATAATTTATAAACATTATTTTTTTAAACCAAGAAAAAAAATGGTTTCCTATATTTTTTCCTTTCTTCCTCATCATTCAATTTTCCCTTACATTTTCCCGCCTTTCATTTAGCTGTCACTAATGCCTTAATTTCCTTTTTCGACCAGCAACGATTTCATTGATAAATTGACAAATCGCTGGCGATCAACAACACTTTAACCTTAGACCAAAGTGGCTCCAAAACCCTTGGAGTCATCTAACAATCGCCAACACGATTTCACCACATCGCATGACTCACAGGCACAGGCATGTCCAGGCTAACTGACTAACGAGAGGCACGTTTCAACGCGGTTCAGAGAGGTTCATATTTCTTGAACCTGTCATAAACTTCAGCTACCAATGGAGGAAAAAAACGGCTTCCGCCTTTTTCCTCCACAACAGCAATGCAACAGGTAATGGGGAACCTTGAAAGGCAAACAAAAAACACTCAACAACCATAGTAACGGGAAAACAGACCTTTCTCAAAATATGGTGAAGACAATCAAAGGAGCTTGGAATTACAAGGCATTGTTGTTACCAATAAACTATAAATGGCTAGCAAGTAATGTTCAATAAATTATTGGTAAGACTTTATTTGTTTGGAGGGGGCGGAAAGGAGTGGGTGCCATATTAAGTTCAGTTTTGTATTATGGGGATTATTTTGAAATGGGAAATGGTCGAAAGAGAGTAAATCTGTGTTACTAACAAGAGCGTATAAAGAGAAGAGTTATTGGTCTCTTATACAAAGAAGACCTCTCAGAGACACACTTCTAATCATTCCTTATCAAATTTCCCCAATCTAAAATATTTCCGTTTAAGAAACTAAAACGCTACGTGATATGCTGAATTTTTCCTTAATTTTATTAGAGGTGATTTGCCAAAAAAGACCCCAAGACAGGAGATTGAACAATAAAACCTCCAGCATTTATTTATTAATGATTAAACAGTGCAAAACTAATGATAGATACTTTTCTTAAGATATTCCGACTGCCGGCCACCACTTTAACGCCCAACAAATCTCTTGTTGTTGTTGTTTTTGCTATTGTTGCTATCATTTAACATAAGTATGCAATTCCCAACTTCAACATTCACTTTTGCTGTGTGCTGCTCAATCGATGGGGGAGGGGTGTTACTTTGGCGGCTGTTGCCATACTTCGTCAGTTAACAACTCCGAAAAAAAAAAAATAAATATCAACAAAAATCGAGCAGAAAAAAATTCGAATGAAATCCGCAAGACCCACCAAAACAAATTGCATTCGATAGTTTTATTTTTATTAACAAGAAATTAACAACAACTCCAATATCGAACAAAAACAAAAGCATTGGACTCGCTTCCTGGTTGAGGGAATTTTTTTCAGTTAAGTGACTAACGCCCGCAGCTTGAAAGTGAATGTTGTAAAAGTCTTAGAATTAAAAGGTATTAATAGATTATATCCGGGCTAATGGATTCTTGAGGTTGTGGGGTGGGGATATTAGAATTATTTATTCATTTGAATAAATTTATTTTTAAATGTGTTTTTATTGGCAATGCATAAAACTGTGAAAGAAATTGTGGCCATTTTTTATTATTATTTTTTTTGGAGAATTTTAAGAGCTTAAATCGTGGATATTTTAACATTTTTAAGGAACTTAGAGGACATAATTGTGATTTCCAATCCTAAAAATGGAAACCAAATGGAAAAATTCGATTGAATGTTTAAAAATTTATTACATTTTGGGCTGATATTACATATTTGGGGCACAACAATCGTTAAAAGACTTAAAGAACCAAAATGTTTCCTTATCGAGGGCTAAAAGGTCTTCACTTAGAGGGCCAGAAAACAACCCCTTAATGTGCCAAAGGTTCTTCTCTTAGAAGAATTCCTCTCAAAGGGTCAAATTTTAAATGGCTATAAGATTTCGGTTTTCAGGGCTAAAAGGTCTCCTCTTAGAGGGACAGAAGATCCGCTCCTCAAAGGCCAGAGGGCCTCCTCTAGACGGCCAATAGGAGTCTCCTCTTAGAAGGTTGGAAGACCTCCCCGTAAAGTGTCATCCTTAGGAACAAGAAGGAAAACATTTTATCGATGACAACTCTTCCTTAAAAGCAATTTATCGACAATAGCTTTTCATTAACAAAAAGTTATCGATAATAACTGTTCCTTAACAACAATTTAGCGATAATAACTTTTCATTAACAAAAAGTTATCGATAATAACTTTTCTATAATAAAAAGTTATCGATATTATTTTTTTAGGAACAAGAAGGAAAACATTTTATCGATGACAACTCTTCCTTAAAAACAATTTATCGACAATAACTTTTCATTAACAAAAAGTTATCGATAATAACTGTTCCTTAACAACAATTTAGCGATAATAACTTTTCATTAACAAAAAGTTATCGATAATAACTTTTCTATAAGGAAAAGTTATCGATAGTAATCTTTCTATAAGAAAATGTTATCTACAGTACATTTTCTATAAAACATTTTGTCGATAACAACTTTTCCTTAACGAAAAGTTATCGATAACAACTTCTCCTTAATGAAAAGTTATCGATATTAATTTCGGTTTATTATCGGCAATAACTTTTCTATAAGGAAAAGTTATATCGGGAGGTTTCATTATATGGAGGTTATGCGAAGACGTGGACCTGCAGAGACAACTTTCTGTCATATCCTGTAGTATCCATGACGAACATCAAATACCAAATTTGAAACATTTCCGGTGAATAATGTCGCTAAAATCATCAAAATGCCGAATATCGGCAGGTATCATTATATGGGGGTTATGCGAAGACATGGACCTGCATAGACAATTTTCTGTCATATCCTGTAGTATCCATGACGAACATCAAATACCAAATTTGAAACATTTTCGGTGAATAATGTCGCTAAAATCATCAAAATGCCGAATATCGGGAGGTACCGTTATATGGGGGTATATAAAGACGTGGACCTACATGGCCCATTTTCTGTCTTAGGCTGTAGTATCCATTACGAACTTCTAATACCAAATTTGAAACAATTACGGTTAATAATGTCGCTAACATCATCAAAGTACCGAATATCGAGAGGTTCCGTATTGTCGATAATAATTTCCCAAAACAGACTCCTCTTAGAGGACAGAAGAATGGACACTTTTTTAAAAGGGGAAGAACAGTTAGGGATATTTTAAACATATTTTTGAAAATATTGTGGAGGAGAAATAATAGTAGATTTAAAAAAAATATTTTTAAGAAGTAACAACAACTGCGGATTTTTTTAGAAAAAAACTGTTTGTAGAGAAGAAAATCGTGGAATTTTTTAAAAAATGTAAAATTTTTTTTTTATTTTTTTTTTGGTTTGCAATAATTGAATATTATTTGTATATATTCTTTGAGGAGTGGATTGGATTTTTAAAAAATTAGAGAGCTAGAAGGTCTTTTTTTATAGAAGAGCAAAAGGTCTTTTCTTAGATGAACAGAAGGTATTTTCTCATAGAAGAGCAGAAGGTCTTTTCTCATGGAAGAGCAGAAGGCCTTTTCTCATAGAAAAGCAGAAGGCCTTTTCTCATAGAAGAGCAGAAGGCCTTTTCTCATAGAAGAGCAGAAAGTATTTTCTCATGGAAGAGCAGAAGGCCTTTTCTCATAGAATAGCAGAAAGTATTTTCTCGTAGAAGAGCAGAAGGTCTTTTCTCAGAGAAGAGCAGAAGGCCTTATCTCATAGAAGAGCAGAATGCCTTTTCTCATAGAAGAGCAGAAAGTATTTTCTCGTAGAAGAGCAGTAGGTCTTTTCTCAGATTGTCGATAATAATTTCCCAAAACAGACTCCTCTTAGAGGACAGAAGAATGGACACTTTTTTAAAAGGGGAAGAACAGTTAGGGATATTTTAAACATATTTTTGAAAATATTGTGGAGGAGAAATAATAGTAGATTTAAAAAAAATATTTTTAAGAAGTAACAACAACTGCGGATTTTTTTAGAAAAAAACTGTTTGTAGAGAAGAAAATCGTGGAATTTTTTAAAAAATGTAAAATTTTTTTTTTATTTTTTTTTTTGGTTTGCAATAATTGAATATTATTTGTATATATTCTTTGAGGAGTGGATTGGATTTTTAAAAAATTAGAGAGCTAGAAGGTCTTTTTTTATAGAAGAGCAAAAGGTCTTTTCCCATAGATAGATAGATGAGCAGAAGGTAGTCTTCTCATAGATGAACAGAAGGTATTTTCTCATAGAAGAGCAGAATGTATTTTCTCATGGAAGAGCAGAAGGCCTTTTCTCATAGAATAGCAGAAAGTATTTTCTCGTAGAAGAGCAGAAGGTCTTTTCTCAGAGAAGAGTGGAGCAGACGTTTTTTTTCTGATAGAAGAGTAAAATGTTTTTTCTCATAGAAGAGTAAAAGGTATTTTCTCATAGAAGAGCAGAATGCCTTTTTTCATAGAAGAGCAGAAGGTCTTTTCTCATGGAAGAGCCGAAGGACTTTTCTCATAGAAGAGCAGAAAGTATTTTCTCGTAGAAGAACAGAAGGTCTTTTCTCAGAGAAGAGTGGAGCAGACGTTTTTTTTTTTTTTTTTTGATAGAAGAGTTAAATGTTTTTTCTCATAGAAGAGTAAAATGTATTTTCTCATAGAAAAGATAAGGTCATTTCACAAAGAAGAGTGAAGGCCGTTTCTCACAGAAGAGCATACAGTCTCTTCTCACAGAAGAACAGACAGTCTCTTCTCACAGAAGAGCAGACAATATCTTCACACAGAAGAGCAGACAATCTCTTCACACAGAAGAGCAGACAGTCTCTTCTCACAGAAG